TGAAGATGTGGTACTGCTGTTTCCTAATATGTTTCTGGTAAAATAGCCTGAGAAATAGGTCAAAGCACTTATTTATACTGCTCAAGCTAATCTTCCTGATTCTTTGCTGTAGCTGATTAGGCCATGCTAAAATGAATAACTTTGCTACCAGAACTGTGGATTTGTGAATTTACTATAAGAAGTTGTAGAATACTGCCTTGAAACACTACAGCTGCTTGCAAAGTAAATTACCAAGGCACTGCCTAAATAAAGAATTAGGGAACTCTCTTACTTCACTTTTACTCAAAGACCTAGAAAACTCACCTCTGAGTTGTCAAAGTTGAATAAAGTTCCTAGTCTTTGCTTTTCAGAAAGTAATATAATTTAAAGATGGGCAGATTATTGTGATTTACATCTTAATTAAGGCTACCTCCGTAACCCACTTTAAATTAGGGAGGATAGACAGAACTTTCTCATAAACCACAGATGGAAATAAAATTCCTGATATTTCCTGAGTAACTTGTTGAAAAAGTTAAGTCTACTACTATTACTTAAAGCATCATGTCAGGGGCCTCAAGTTCAAATTGCCAGGAAAAAAATGTTTATGTCATGTCACTTAAGTAGTTTGCCAAAGCTTTGAATTGAGTTTACTGGAATGAACAAGGAAGTTATAGGTCTGGATTGCTTCTTTGTGTCAAACGGACCAGGTAAAGCCATGAGAAATTTAAATATGTAACTGACTGTTCATTTAAGGCTTCTGCTTCTTGAGTTTGCTACTTTTTTCCAGTACTTCAGTTAAAGATATTAAAAACCCAAGATATATTTAAATTGAGATATTCTATGTGAATAGTAACAGAAGGTCACAATATGTTCAGAGAATTAAAATATATGAATGTTCTCTTATGAATACTTACTTCATGTATAGATGGAGTTGCAGATGGGTTACCAGATGGAATACCTTCCTTTAAATATAGTTCCATGTATTTAAAAATGGATGCAATGCAATCATATTATTTAAATCAATTCTGTTATTGCTTTTGAAGCCATAATGACAGTAACTATTCTGTAACAGAGAAATGTGGCAAGAGGAATATAACTTCTTGCTGTAAAATTGTTTGGCTTGACTGACATCTAAAAGTCTCTCTCTGAAGAAGGGACCTTAATCCAATGCTCTTTTCTTTGGGAAATTGTTTGAATATCTAACAGAATGCAGTAAAGTTCAGACAGGACACTAGATGTCCAGGAGCATGTGAAACAGAACTGGATAAAAAGAAATTACAGGAAGAGCATTTGGGGACATAGCAATTCAGAAGTACTCTTCCTTCTTAAAAAAATCAATCCCCATGCCTTAACCAGAGGCCCAGCACATCTTGGCAGAAGCATTCTTTTTTTTTCACTGTCTCTGTCATTTGCTCTTTGACTATCATGCTTAGCTGGATGTTACAAATATTGATATCACCAGAGCATAATATTAAAATATAAAACAAAAGAAAAATCCTGCCCAGAGAGTGAAAAACTCTGTACCCCTGTATGCACCCTTTCTGAATTAAAATATTATCAGCCTACCATACTTCACTTATATCCTCATGCTCTACTTGTGTTGGGTCTTCTTTTTCCAGACTGCCATTCATTCACCAGTGAAAAGTCATCAGCTAGCAAGAGTTCTTGTTCCAGTATCCTCACCTACCTTCTTTATCTTGGCATGTCTGGTCAGTCACCAATATAAATTCCAGCATCCTTGTGGACCACCTCTTTGTTGAACAAGGCATAGGAATTAGTAATAATAGTAATCACAGCAGAGAGATTTTGGGGAAAGCAAACAGGGACACCCAGAGCCTGTTGCCCAGAACCATGTGCAGATGGCTTTTGAGTATCTCCAAGGATGCAGACTCCCAATTCTCTGGGCAGCTTGTGGCAGTGCTCAGTCATCCTCACAGTGAAGTGTGTCCTGATGTTCAGAGGTAGCCTCCTGTGTCTGGGACTTTGGGCCCATTGCCTCTGGTTGTGGCACTGGGCACCACTGAAAAGAGCCTGGCTCTGTCCTCATTGCACTGTGCCTTCAGACATGTGCACACATTGATGAGTTCCCCCCACAGAGCCTTCTCCATCCTGGACAGTCCCAGCTCTCTCAGCCTTTTCTCACAGGACAGATGCTCCAGTCTCTTCATCACCCTTGTGGCCCTGTTTTGGACTCTATTCAGTATGTCCATGTCTCTTTTGTACTTGGAGGCCCTTATCTGGACACAGCACTCCAGATGTGATCTTACCAGTGCTGAGTAGATGGTAAGGATTATCTCCCTTAACCTGCTGGCTTTGCTGAAGCATGTCAGCAAGACAGTTTATTTCAATCACCGAGTTCTTCAAAGTAAAATCTGAGATTTTCTTTCCCTGCCAACACTGGAAGAAAGAGTTAAAGCTGTAGGTTCTCCATAAAGGTCAGGAGTGCTTTATCTGATCACTTGTATCTCCTACATGCTTTGATGTTGTCGGTATTAACCCTATCAGATTCAACAAACCATGAATATAATTCAGCTTTTTAAAATTGTCTTTCCTTGCCTTGTAAGTTAAAATTCATACCGCAGTTAAGCAATGACGCCAGTACCTTCATGCATGTATATCTCAGCTCCAGGCTTTAAGTTCTTGAACTCGCTATGAGCCCGGAAAAGGAGGGAGTGGTAGGAGGAAGGACTAGAGTGACTCAGAGTCCTTCAGTCCTTAGCTCTGGTTATGTGTAACTGGAGGCTTCTGAAGCAACTCCAGACCTCCTGTTCTGTCTGGGCCATGTTTCAAGTTTTTTATGTCTGATATTCAAGTTTGAATTTCCAGGCATGTTCTAATTTGCCTGTTTTGAAAATACATGCAATGTATACATGAAATGTAAAGTATAAATCAGATTTTTTAGATAGAAGAGCCTTTGAGACTAGAAATGTGTTTTAGTTTTGCATTGCCTGCCACAGTGGTCTTGTGGTGCACTATCAGGTGTTACAATACAAAAACCATAAAAATTAATGAGAAGAGTGAACCGGTAATAAATTATCTGGTTATTCTTCTAAACTGCATAGCTGATCTGACAAAAAGATTCATCACAATTCAGCAAATTTTGAATCCTTTAAAGATTCTTTAGACTGTGTTAAGGACACAGAACACCAAAAGGGACAAAACTCTGTAGATTTACTGGGATTGTAAATAAGGAGCGCTTGCAGGAAAAGCAAGGCAGGTTGCAGAGCGGTGCCAGCTCTGCACGCCAGAGGGAGCTGTATCCACACGGAACTGCAAATCCCGCTGTGTGCCGGGAATGCCGAGCAGGGATCTCGTACTTGGAATAGGATGAATATAAATACAAGGGATTTGGATAACCTGGAAGTGATTTTATTTTCTGCCTGTTTTTATTTTTTCCCTAAATTTCTTCTTACCGTTATAAAGAGTACATTTTATTTTGGTTTGTATTTCAATAATGATGAAGTCATTTCGAAGATAGCGATCAAGCATGCTGATTGAATAATCTGGTTTATTGTGTTCATGCAATGTAATAGAATTAGATATACCTACTCTGTTGTTATTGTCCTGCGAAAGATACTTTGACTATGCTATTTTGAGTTCTCATAACTATGAAAAACACTCACATTTTAGATTGAAATGTCCTTTGCTTTGTCCCCATACAAAGGTGAAATTTGAGGAAAAGATTGAAATTAACAATATACCTGAGAACTAGAAAAATGTTAAAATCATATGCTTCACATTAAAAAGCATCCAGTTAACTTTTTTTTTTAATCAGCTATCCTATTGTTTTGTTTTTATATGGTCATAATTATATAATAATAAATATACTGTATATATATGTGATCATAACATACTTTATTATGTATTTGGCCATAACTGTATCATATATGTGAGATATATGTATATATAGATATAATATATATTCTCATAAATATACTTTATAGATATATACTTCATATGATCTTAACTATATAACCCACAAATCCTGCTCTCCTGCCTCTGCTCATGAATGGTGGGAGATAGATGTGAATGAAGGAGCAAATTCGAGCCTGGAAACAGGGTGGCAAGGGGAAAGTGTTTTAATTTTTGTCTTGGTTTCTTACCATCCAAATCTCTTTTAATTATTTATAAATTAAATTCATTTTCCCCAAGTTATGTCTGTTTTGCCCATGACAGTAATGGGTATGGAATCACCCTATCTTTATCTTGATCTTTGAGCTTTTCACTTTATCCTCTCTTCCCGTTCTGTTGAAGGGGGAATGGTGGATGGTGAGAGGTGGGTAGAGGTCCGGCAGCCATCCAAAGTCAGCAAAGTACAAAGGATATGGTTTGGAATCAGGTGATCTAGGAAATTTTTGAGTGCAAAAGATGAGCTATTTGGTTCCAAGGATGATATACCAAGAAAAATTGAGGTTTTTAAGTCTCTAGCATTTATAGTCTTCTCTGTTTCAAATGGAAAGGAATGGCTCTCTAGGTTTTCTTGGTGTAAGAGGAGAAACTCCATCAGAATAAAAGACAGGGTCCTACATCCTCTGTTTTGATATAAAAATTTACAAGAACTCAGGACTAAATCCTAAAGGGACTTCTTCAATTAATGCTATTTTGGAAGAAATTATATAGTAAACCTAAGTCATGGCTGGTCTTAAAGAAGTGAAATTTAGAGCAAGAGACTGTTTTATATTTAAAACAATTTAATATATCTGCATGGAAAAAAAATACAAATTCAATACCTTATCAGGAGTAAAGCACAGAAGAAGAACTAACTCAACACACAGTTGTCCCAAATTTTTTGGTGTCATTAACTCTTGGATATATCAGCTTTTAGACTCATGAATGTTTTATTTGCTCTTTCATAGATCTTCCCGAGAGATAACCAATTGGATACTGGACAACAAAAGACGTAATCAGACTCCGCTGACCTGTTTAACCCTGATTGTGAAGGATGGAAAGCAGCAGCTGCTTTCTGTGGAACAGCACTTCTGTGGCACTTGCTTCTTTCCTTTGGGATGATATTGGCATAAGGACATCAAGGTATTGAACTCATAATGTTGTGAGTTTATACATGCCAGACTGTGTGCCACCACTTTCTGAAGCAGGTATGTTCTTTGAATAACTTTGCCTTATTTTTCAGCACGAATCCAAATGAACTATGGGTATTGTAAGAAAAACAGGCTTATTATTACAACCTCTGTCTAAAATGCTTAATGCTGGGTAGTGTAAAATCAGACAGAAGGAGCTGAAGTTAACTGGGGTCCCATCTTCTTAGGAGATGTGAAATTGTTACCAGAATTTGGACTGTGTTTTAATAGTTTTATTGTCATTCAAGGAAGAAAACAACATCTTCTTGACTTTGTTCTACTGGAACAAAAATAAGTAGCTCAAAAATAGGATTCTAATGCAATTTCAGCCATGAGGAATGTATCTAGTACTAAAATTGTGACTGTTACAACTTTTTTAATAAGGAGAGTTTAACTTTTTCTGGAAAAGTATTGTCTCATTGCAATTCTAGTATTTTTATAGGACTACTTTAAACAAGTAAGAAATAATTTTGAATAGCTAAAGTTAAAGCTTCAAGTTGATTAATCACTAGAAGACTGAATAGGCTATTGAGTCTAAATTTCCATAGCTGACTAGGTTATTAAAATTATTTTATGAGAAAGTAGAAATTACATGACCTTGCAGTTCTTCAAAATTAAATCCACCATAACTTTAATTTTGGTTTAGGTTCAGGGCTGCCAGGTAGCTGATCGCATTGTGTCACAGATTTTTAACTAATGCTGTATATCTGTGACTTCACGTGATTACTGCCATTACCTTGTGTATTAACAGGCTTCATGTGCTTTGCATGATTCCAGTGCCAGGATAGATCCCAGGATTGTGCTAAATATGCTCTAGGCATGCCATCATGAACAAAAGACACGGTAACTACTGCAGGTGGTAAAGTAGTATCTAGATACTCACATGCAATTTCATTTTCTAATTGTTAACTTAAAACCAAAAGTTCAGTACATTTAATTGAGGGATTGTTTACCACACTTAAAAGTAGAGAGGTATTTTTTTCAGCAGGTCAAAGGACCCTTAATTGTGAGTTGGTTGATCAGAAAAAACCCATCAAAGTAAATACTATGTGCCAGAATGACTACGTGGATTATGTTTATCTGTGTACTTACATGATATTTGATTTTCTTTTTCTTATTGAATAATACCAAAGAACTTAAAAGTGTTACATGATTGGTTCTGAACCAAAATGTGGCTTAGTAAATAATATATGAATAATGTCGTGCTAGTGTTTCTAGCTCAGCAATGAGAAGGTTGTAATAAAAGAGGAGGTAGTCTTACCTAACAAAGCTGGTTTACAGAAATTTTTCTTATGTCTGGGGTTACAGCTCACTTTTAGGCTTTTTCTGTAATCACTTTTCAACATTTGGAGAGGGGTCCAACATTCAAAGAAAGAAAGTTGTGGTGAGAGTTTTGCTGTGGCAAGTCTGCCATCAATGAGCTGTAGCTTTCTCTTATGAATCATAGGTATCTATATCTTGTGGTTTAAATTATGGTTTATGTAGAATCCTAGAATGGTTTGAGTTGGAAGGGACCTTAAAGGTCATCTAGTTCCAGCCCCCTACCCTGGGCAGGGACACCTTCCACTAGATCAGGTTGCTCAGAGCCTCATCCAGCCTGGTCTTGAAAACCTCCAGGGATGGGACAGCCTGTTCCAGTGATTCACCACACTCACAGTAAGAATTTATTCCTAATATCTAATCTAAATTTAGCCTCTTTCAGCTTAAAGCCATTCCCACTTGTCCTATTACTGCATGTACTTGTAAAAGGTGCCTCTCCAGGTCTCTTAGAGGCCCTAGCTAAATACTGGAAAGCTGCTAGAAGGAGTTTCTGCTCTTTGAGTTTCTTTGTGTCATTGCCTAGCATTAGCTAGGTCTAGTTAAAAATGTTTCGTTCTTCAAATTCAAAAGGATGAACTGCACACTGTAAACAGATAGTCAAACCACTCAGTGAAGAATCACTGGTTTGTCTCCTTCTCTTCTGTGATAAAGGAAGGAAAAAATGTTAGATCTGAAGTGGACTAAATCTGTCAGTTTCTGCTTGCACTAAACAGTAAAGGTACCATGTTAAATTTATCATTAATTCAGTCGTAAGTATCTCAAATAAGATAGGACCCTGATAGATGTCAGTGTTTCCCATGAATAATTTTTTGATAAAGTTACTTTTATCATACCAGAGTCAATTCTTGGTATCTACTTTCATCTTGTAGGTCCAGATTCACTCCACTGGTTCTTAGAGTCATGGCTGGGAGTCACAGAATCAATCAGGTTGGAAAATATCATCAAGTCCAATCTATGACTGAACACCACCATGTCAACTAAACCATGGCACAAAGTGCCACATCCAGTCTTTCCTTAAACACCTCCAGGGACAGTGGCTCCAGCATCTCCCTGGCAGCCCATTCCAATATCTAATCACTCTTTCTGTGAATAAATTCTTCTTATGTTTGACTTAGACCTCCCCTAGTGTACCTTAAGACTGTGTCCTCTTTTCCTGTTGCTCTTTGCCTGGGAGAAGAAACCAACCCCCACCTGGCTATAATCTTCTTTCACGGAGTTGTAGGGAGTGGTAAGGTCACCCTTGAGCCTCCTTTTCTCCAGGCCAAACACCCTCAGCTGCTTCAGCTGCTCCTCATCAGACTTGCGCTCCAGACCCTTCACCAGCTCCATTGCTCTTTTCTGAACTTGCTTCAGCACCTCAGTGTTCTCCCTAAATTGAGGGGCCTGGAACTGGACACAATACTCAAGTCATCCTGAGCACACTATGGAGATAATAGGAAGAAAGTGCTTGGCCAGTTGTTCTCGGAGTCTGTATGTCTGTTGACAAAATAAGGAGTCTAGTTTGATTCAGAGTCAAATCTAATCACAATTTAAGCACCTAAGATTGGTTAGGCTGACCTGAACCCTTGTGTTGAGCAGGCAAAAATTCTCCACTTCATTAAGTAACACTCAGAGGTACAAAGCTCTTACCCCTCTGTAAGAAGTCAATAACCTCAACAAATACTAGAATAATTCTCCTAAGACTTAGTAAAGAAAAATGTAAACAAACACAAATAAAACTAGATGGAAATATAATGTTTGGGTATAATGCTATAGCAAATTTATCTATTCATTTCAGTGACAGCAACATCAAGTCTTTAATATGAACAGTTCTACCCAACACAAAAGCTTCTGTTCTTTGGGTTTTGCTTTTCCATTTTCTCTCTTTTTTTTTTTTTCTTCTAATTGTAAAATATATTGAAGGACAGAAAATAATATAGAGATTTTATTCTAGATTCACTTTCATGTATTTTTAACCTTTTGCTGCCTGATAAAAATATATTAAAATGAGCAATAAGAAATACTATCTATATATACTTGCAGTCCCTGGTATTTTAAATTATGTTCTACATTAGCAGCTTTGGTAATGCACTGCAATAATGGCTGAACAAAGGCAACGTGCTTTGTCAACATCAGGTGAAGCATTATACAAAATCCTGGCACTAGAGAAGGGAGCAACACATGATGAGATTAAGAAGTCCTACAGGTATGTAAAATGTGCTTTGCAACAGGTCTAAAAATGCTTATTTGTCTGGCATGATTATGATGGTAAAACCTTTTGAGTTACCTGCACAGTAGACATTCATTGTCACAATCATTTCTTCTTTTTAAATTTGTGAGCCTGAAAAGGATCAGAGATGATGCAATGTGAATCTACTGATTTCATCCCACAGGAAGTCTGTGAATAATGTGAAATATTTTAATCTAAGTGCATGAAAGGCCAGACTGTTGGGATAAACTAACCTGGGCTATTTGATTACTGCACCCAGTTCTTGTGTTAGTATTTTTCCTGAAGTTTGTCGAAAAATAAAGCTAATGCAAGTGGTGTAATGACAATTTGAGAGCTAGAGACATAAGGAGTTCAATCAGTTTATATTGTCAGAAAAGAAAAAGAGGATTGTTTAGAAGAAAAGATAGATTTAGAAGAAAAGAAAAAGATAGATTATTTGATTAGAGTGTATAATGTCCTTGAAGGGGAAAATTGCTAGGTGTGAGATAGTTGTTCACTTTATGAAGGCAGGCATAACCAAAAGCAGAGCTTGGGTTGCTTGAAAATTATTTGAACTGAAAAAGAGGTACATGGTTTTAACTGTGAGTATAACCAGCTACTGAAAAATACTGGCACAGGAATGGTAGTTTCTCTACTGAAGAAGAGAGAACATTAAGAATAGTTTGAATCAAACACAAGTTATCAGAATGGTGGCAAACATTTTATTGTTGAAATGTAACAAGACCTAGAAGTAAGACCAGAAGATTTTATGGGTAATTTTACCCTTAAATTTGCTCAGCTGTTGTTGAAAGAGAAAAAAAATTCAATGTCATGTGTGAAGTAGATGTCTTGACACTGAAATATGTCAGACAAGTACTTTCAGGTTTAATAAATATTGTAAAACTTTTATTACAGCATAATTCTGAGTATTGTTGGTTGCACTGTATTACCAGGCAAACTTAACACAGCTTACTTTTCCTATCAAATGTAAGAATATATATGAACTCAAAAAGGTTTACGAAACAGATCTACTTGCATCGTTTAGCTTGCATTTTGGCAAGATTCTGTCCTCCATGTTTTTGAACAAATTGCATTTCTCCTGCTTTCTGTTCCTAAAGGCACATATTCAATGAAGGCAAAAGTAGTGAATGTCCAAACTCTTCACACAATGGAAGGAGAACTGTTAACATCCCATGGTTCTGCTGTCTTGCATAATTATACCACTGGGAAAAAAGCATACTATGGTATCAAATTCACTCATGACTTGCACCTTCTGTGTCCCTGCAGTACAGCCTGGCTATAGAAATCATATTCTGTCTCAAACTTCATGTTTTCTGGTTGCTTTTATATTTAATTTTCTGGAAATCCCCAAAGGAGAAAGTTGTCATGGAAGAATGTAGAATGCAATTAACTTTATTTAATGCTGAGCATGAATATGGATGATTTACACAGTGATCTATGGCAAAACTGACAGTGGTGCTTCCTCCATCTTTATTAGTAATTAAAGAAAAAAAGGCTGCTTCTGACTAAAGTGGAAATGTCAGAGGGTTTCACTTTTAATAGAGTAGCTGTAAATATTTGCAAGATAAAATGATGAGTCAGTCTCATAGATTTGCTTTAATTATAATTTAATTTATGTTAATCCAAAAATCTGCTGCTGAAATGGTATTCTTTAGTACAAGGTATAAAACCAGCCATACCTGATTCTGAGTTTCCTGCCATTATTAATTAAGTCACTGTTAATTATACCACCACAGCCCAGGGCAAAATTTGCTTTTTAATAAACATGACAGACATGACTCTGTGATTTTATTTGGAGTTTGGCACAATCTAATTTATCAGGGAGTAAAGCTAATGGGCTTTTAATCAACAGAATTTCAAAGGAGATCTGTTTATCTTCAGTATAATCCAAAAATAATTGTAGAACCATTTTTTTTGGCATTAAAAAATGAAACTGTACTTTGACTTATGCTTTCTTGTCTGACAGTAAAGTAATATGCAGAGAGATAGATAATGGAGTTCTTTTCTTCAGAAGTTTCAAAAGATCCTGTTTGATAGACCACTTACACGAAAATCATAGAATCATGTGTTGGAAGGGACCTTAAAGATTGTCTAGTTCCAATCCTCTGCCCAGGGTTGCTCAGGCTAGACTAAGTTCCTCAAAGCCTCATCCAATCTGGCATTGAGCGCTTCCAGGGATAGGTCATCCACAGCTTCTCTGAGTAACCAATTCCAGTGCATCACCAACCTAACAGTGAAGAATTTCTTTGTAATATCTAATCTAGACTTTGCCTCTTGACCTATCACTACACCCCCATGTCAAAAGCCCTGCTCCACCTTCCTTGTAGACCCTGCTTAAGTACTGAGAAGCTCCAATTATGTCACACTAAAGATTTCTCTTTTCCAGTCTGAAAAGTCCAAATTCTTCTGGCCTTTGCTCCTAGGAAAGGAGTACCATCCTTCTAATCATCATGGTGTGCCTCCTCTGGAGTTGCTCCAAAAAGTCAACACCTCTGTGATGCTATATTGGTGATTAAGAAATTTATTAGAAAATGTGTACAGCACTTTTAATGCCATTTAATGAATACAAAGCAAGAAGGGTTAATGGCTTAATCATGCCTATGCCAATGGCCTGTTCTGCTCCTGATACAGCCTCTGGGTCCACCAAAGGCTCCCCACAGCCACAAGAGGACACAGCACCTATGGTCCAGGAAAGGGAAGGAAAAGCACTGGAGAATGCGGGCATTGATCCCGCTACCTCTCACATGCTAAGCGAGCGCTCTACCACTTGAGCTAATTCCCCACCCTGCAGCCTCTAACCCAGGTCCTCTCCCCTCCCAGGCACCCAGCCCTGACCCAGGATGCCCTGCACCCAAAGCCTGCGCCTTCCATTCATATCATTCTCATACCACCAACCCACCCACTCACAGTCCTGATGGAGGAGACTTTGGCCAACTTGAGTACACAGAATCACCATCTGCTGCCCAAGGGTTCACCAAAAACTGCTGAGGCAGTATTTCCAAACTCAGATAAGAGCTCACAACTGGGCATTCATTCCGGGGAGTGCCCTGGGCAGGACCATAAGGCAGTGCCAGTGCCAGTTCCGGACGTGTGCCAGAGGCAAAAGGTGACTCCTCCTTCGAGCCGGAGTTGAACCAGCGACCTAAGGATGGCCGTGCCAGGGAGCCTACAGTCCTCCGCTCTACCAGCTGAGCTATCGAAGGAAGCATGAGACATACCCTGGGGGACCTCACCCTGTTCACACCCAGCACTTTTGCCAAGCACAGTGCACCATCATGCCTCTATTACCACATCTTGCTTCAAACAGCCTCAGCTGAGACATCACAGAACCTTGCTCAACACTTTAGCCCATCAGTCATGCAAACCACAGAAATGTCCATGAGTTCCTCAGAAGTCATCTTCTACACATGGACTCTCCTTAGGGCCATGCAGATCTTACCTATATCCTGCTGCATTTTCCCTTGTTCCCTTTCACTGTGCCATCTTTTCATCTCTGCTCAAGCATAAGAAAAACCAAAATTCTAGCCATTTCTCAATTCTGTGACTTACATTGAAGTACCACAAGGTCATCTGCAAGTCCTCAACACCTCTCTTTCTTTATACTGAACATGGCCACTCTCCTCAGCCCATCCCTAAAGAGAAATCCAGTGATTCCTTGTGATTCTTGGTAGCCCAGCCCTGAGGCTGTCCCATTTCATTAACGTTCTTTTCCGAACTGGGCTTGATATTTGAGAACTGCCAAACTGTGTGAGTTTAAGTCAAGCTAAGGGCGTAGACACTTTAAAACTAGTTACCTCCCATTTATTTTTAGCCAATTCCCATCCACCAATAAGTAGAGGGGAACATGAGTAGATATAAATGAAAAATAAGTTTACCAAAAATGTGAAATAGCAACAAGAAAAATAACAATAATCACTAGTTACAAAGTTTCTACATCTCACAGACTCCCTGCCAACAAAGAGAAATTAAAAGTGGCAGAGAAAACCCTCTGCCCAAGATGGCACCCTCCATGAAGGATTGCATGTGGAGAGACAAAGATGGTGGCAGCCCTCTCCCTCTTTCAACTGCATATGGACAGAGAGAACAAAAAGAGAGAAAAAACTCCCAAAACAACACAGATACTAAACCTCCTTGATTACAAAAACTCCCCCTAAACAACAAACAACAGGGAACAAGGGCAAAACAAAAAGAAAACCTAGAGTCCAAAACCAGAAAAATGCCCTTCCTATCTCTCTGGTGGCAGCAGCTCTGTCAAAAAAAGGCACTCCAGCAGCTGAAACTCAATCCCGCTGGAACTCATATAGGGGCTTTACCTTTTCATGAGGAGAAATGGCAGGCAGTTGGCAGGGGCGACTCAGACTTCATGCCTTCCCACTTCCACTGGGCATTGCTGGCAGGTTGGACAGCCATGTAGAGTGGGGCTGTCGCGCTTTTCTTGGTGCGATGTTGCGACTGTAGACAGGTGAAATTTGCTTTGAAGCAGTCCAGGACCACAAAATGCGGCTCCTTGGAAGTCTGAAGCAGCCCCCTCAGGAAAGAAAATAAAAGAAAAACAAGGGGAGCTTCTACCCACACTGCCTCAGCACTCTTCCTGCAAGAAAGAAAAGGAAAGAGCAAAAACCAAGAGCAAGAGAGAGCTATGCCTCAGACATCCTGTCTTTTAAAAGACCTGGCAATGCCACAGCCCTGCAGTTCCATTTCCAGCCACAAGGTTTTCAAGAGAGTAACAATTCTGAGCACAGATGGGAGAGGTCAGATGGATCCCTGACAAAGGGCTCTGTGTCCAGGCAAGGGGAATGAAAAGCATTGGAGAATGCAGGCATCGATCCCACTACCTCTCACATGCTAAGCGAGCGCTCTACCACTTGAGCTAATTCCCCACCCTGCAGCCTCTGACCCAGGTCCTCTCCCCTCCCAGGCACCCAGCCCTGACCCAGGATGCCCTGCACCCAAAACCTACACCTCCCATTCATATC